TGTCCATTGTGTTGCTTAACAAAATACTTGAGTCTGGGTGATTCGCAAACAACAGAAATTTATTTCAGACAGTGCTGGAGGCTGGAGAGTCCCAGGTGAAGGTGCTGGCACTCAGCCTCAGGTGTGGGTCTTATTGCGGCATTCTCACCTGGTAGAAAAGTGAAACTAGCCTAAGCTTGCTCCCTTTAGCTTTGTTATAAGGCACAGATCCATCGATGAGGGCAGAGCCTTGTGATTCTCCACGGGCCCCACCTCCACAGGATAACAGGGATCTTGTTTCAAAATATGAGTTTTTGGGGGAGACACATTCCCACCATAGCAAGAAGGGACAGGTGATTCCACAAATGGTATGGAAACAATTGAGTGTCCGTGTACGGAAAAGCACTGCAACCTAAACCCCTTACTTGGCACACAATTAAATCAATTATAGATCAAAATAGACACCTGTAAAACATTTGGCACAGAACAGAAGGAAATATCTGTGACCTTGAATAAAAACTGAATAACAACTCTTGTTATAGTTTGCATATAAAAGTGCTGCAGTCCGGCCGCAGCAGGTCCAGGATATTCCGGCAGGAGGGTATGACTCGGGGGAAGAGACAAACAACACAGACACCAGAGGTCCTTCTGGTGGGCCAGGGACGCAAGGCTCCTCTGACACAGAGAAATGTTTTTTGCTTTATTATATACTTTTGCAATTACATATGAAACTCTTAGATACAATGAGGTTTCTAGTTTAGTTACAGATTCAGACATGGTTGACCGATGGTCTGGCTGCAAACCTAGCAGGAAATCAACTTTTCTAAAGCACATAAAAGGAAGCAAAAACATCAGTCACTAGGTGTTCTTGATTAGGTATAATTTTTCACAGAATTGTTCTCTTGCCTACTGGACAACAGGACCCACAGTTACAATATCTCCATCTAGAGCCAGTTCAGCACACACAGGGCGTTCGCCTAATGTTTTCTCATGCACTGAGGCCTGCGCAGCGCTCCCCTCTGGTTCCGGTGGGTGAACATTGCCACACAGGAGGTAGGGGACTGATGCAAATCTCTGTGGTGGCTTTTACTTCCCCCTTCAACTCTGAAGGGGTGCCTTTCATCCTGGGCTCTGATTCCTTAACTACTTTCAGTTCTGATCCTTCAGGTCCCCAACTATCATTTATCAATAGCACAGTGAATATCTGGAAAGCTATGATTAATAAAGAGTAGAGGGAGGGGCTGGGGATTTAGCTCAGCAGCACAGTGCCTGCCTGGCAAGCGCAAGGTCTTGAGTTCGATTCCTTGTACTGGAAAAAAGAACCCAAATAACCAAAAAAAAGAAAAAAGAAAAAAGGAAGAGTAGAGGGAAAGGCTGCACACCCATCCTATGAGGTCCCTGCTTTGCAGATACCGCTGCCAGTCCTGACTTTGTCAAGGAACTAGCACTGGAAGGTCTCCAGCATAAAAGGTCATGAAACAAAGTCTCATTGTCCTTGCCAAAGCGACAGGGCAGACTTGGCTGCAGCAGTGGTTGGTGGTGGAGGATAGAGTGGATTCTATGGAAGGGCTGTACCTTTCTCTGCACCCATTTCTTCACCAACTGTTCAGTCTTCGGGGATTCATGGTGTTCTTACAGGAACAGCAAACGGATTTATACCTGTGTGCAAAAGAACTATAAGTATAAACACTAAGACAAACTTTAAAGACAAACAAACATCAAAGCAGGTATAGTCATGTATGCATATAATCTCAGCACTTGGGAAGCTGAGGCAGGAGGATTACCATAAATTTGAGGCCAGGCTGGGCTACATAGTGAGTTTAAGGCCAGCCTGTACTACATAGTGACCAAAAAGATATAAATATATAGATAGATAGATGTAGAGATAATCAGAAACGGGTCTAGAACAGAAAAATCAACTTGGAAAGAGAAAACACTTCACTATTGAAGGGTTATAGAACTATAGAAATCAAGACCAAGTGACACTGATGTCAAGAGGGACTTGTGGTTCTCAGCTGACACTGGCCCATGAGGCCATTGTTAAGGGCTGAATCACTGACTCTCAAATGTGACTGTATTTGGAGACAGATCCTTTAAAGGAGAGGTTAATGGAAAACATGACCACTCAGTGGGCTCTAATCTATTAGACTAGGGTCCTATAAAAAGAAACCAGGACACAGACACACAGGGAGGAGATGCCATCTGCAAACCGAGGAGAGAGGCCTTCGGAGGGACTTAGGCTTCTGGCCTCCAGGATGTGAGAGAATAAAGACTGTTTAAGCCACTTAGTCTGCGATATTTATTATGCTGGCTGAATGCGGCAATGTCATAAGACGTTTTAAAATCTTACATTTGGGGGAGGAGCTGCTGGTGCAGTGGGCAGGGCCAGGGATTGGGCTAAGCGCTTTTTTTTTGTTTTTTTCTGGTACCGGGGATCAAACTCACAACCTTGCACTTGCCAGGCAGGCGCTGCCACTGAGCTAAATCCCCAGCCCTGGGCTAAGCACTTTTGATGCCCTTTATAGACCCCACAGCAGAGGACTGTCTGTCCTATCCTACTAATACTGCTGTGGCTGAGAAGCCATGAGACAGATAAATAAATCAGTGAGACAGGATAAAGAGTTCAGAAGTAGACCCCCTACATCAAAGGCAGCTGATCTTCACAACAAAGTGGACTGGAATAATTGTATATCCATATGAAAAAGTGAATTTCAATTCATATCTCAGACAAGGTAAACAGAATATTACCAAATGAATCATATATCTAAATTAAAATATAGGAGAAATTCTTTGTGACTTTGGGTTGGGCAAAAACAGTCTTACATATAATGTCAAAAGCACAATTTGTAAAAGGAAAACAGATCCATGTGGCTTCATCACAAGTAAAGAAGTTCTGAATTTGGAAAAGCACTGTGAAGGGAATAAAAGTACAAGCCACAGAAGGAGAGCAAATTTTAAAAACATCTATCTGATAAAGGGTTTGTATCCAGAGTAGATAACAAATCCTTAAAACAATATAAAGAAAATAACTAATCAAAATGGGCAAAAGGCCAGGCAAGATAGTGCACACCTGTAATCCCAGCACGTGGGAAGCTGAGGCAGGAAGATTGCTGTGAGTTTGAGACCAGCCTGGGTTACATAGTGAACTCAAGACCAGCCTGAACTACACAGAGAGACCCTGTGTCAAAAAAAAAGAGAAAAAAATGGGCAAAAGATTTAAACAAACACTGACCCAAACGATATAGATAGATGACAAAGAAGCACATGAAAAAATGCTCAACACAACTGGTAATTAGTAAAATGTAAATTAAAGCCACAATTATGTAACAATACACACTTTTCCGAATGGCTAGAATTTTTTTAAGTGTGCTGTATTGAGTGTGGGTGAGAACAGGGCTGGCTGTACCCCCCACTGGTAGTGACAAAAAATGGTACAGCTCCTTGGGATTTGGGTTTGGCAGGTTTTGTTTGTCTGGTTCTTGTTTGTTTGTTTGTTTTTGGTACCAAGAATCAAACTCAGGGCCTCATGCTTACCAGGCAGGTGCTATGCCTCTGAGCTACATCCCTGGCTGGCAGCTTCTTATCAAATAGGATGTTACACCTGGGGGAAGCGCTACTGGTACAATGGGCAGGGCCAACAGCTCACTGAGCCCCTCGTGATGCCCAGGATGGTACCCCCAGGAAAGAATCATCCATCTCACACTATTAATAGTGCTGTGGCTGAGAAACCAGGAGACAGATAAGTAAATGATAAATAAATCAGTGACACAGAATAAGGAGTCCAGGAATACACCCCTGAGTCTTACCAAATTAAACATGTATGTGTCACATGGCTTGGCAATTCTGCCTGCAAATGTTTATTCAGATGAAAGAAATGTCTATGTTCACATAGATACCTGCACCTGTATTCGTAATTACCGAAGTGAGAGAAAATGAAATAAATCAGAAACAGAAGGTTAAATATCACTTATATGAGATTCTCTTATACGAGAAACCCAAAATATAAATCACTTGGAGAGCAAAATAAAAGATAGATGACAGGAACAGGGAAGGAGACTTTGGGAGACCCCTAGAGATGGAGGAAGACAGGCTGGCAGAGGGAGGGGAAGTAAAAATGAAACAAAACACCAAAAAAAAAAACAAACAACAACAACAACAAAAACCACAGCCAGAGAAAGTCCAAACTGTCCCTCAATTTGGGAGTGGATAACTGTGTTATTCATATATTGGAAGACAGCGTGGCAACACCAAGGAACAAACTTCAGATACACCATGACATGCAAGAATCTCAATATATCACGCTGAATGAAGGGAGCTGGACCTGAGTGTTTCCATGTTGTCTGATATCATTTCCATGGCATCCAAGAAAAAGCAAAAATATTCGACGGAATGGCATTCAATGGGGCTGGGGAAGGGATGTGGCTTCAAAATGGCCCCAGTGGGTGTGCAGGTTGTGGCAGTGGTGGAATATAATGCTCTATGCAATCAGCTTCTGTATCTTGGCATTGGTAGCAGTTACAGATAATAGAAATGTAAATTTCACTGTAAGCAAGTTGTACTTTATTCCTTTCAGTGGGGAAATGTTATGGGTCCCAAGGAAGCCCTCAGTTCTTGCTGATCCATGCAGTGAGTTCTTTAGGTATGTTCTATCTTTTCCACCATACCAGCTATCACACGTCCCTCCAGGATGATGGGAGTACTTAACCCTAGTTCCCCGGAAGCCAGGTAAATGATAGGGCAATGCCTTGGGCTTCTGTCCTAGGTGAGAGAGGCTTCAACCTTTTTTTACATAAAGCAGGTGCTGGTCCCACCTGGGAAGGGTGGACCACCTCTGAATTCAAACTCCAGGGGTGCTAACAGTTGACATTCTTGGGTCCCTGTCTTGGTGTTCAGGGCCCCAGGTTCCCCAGCAGGGCCTGACCTTTGCATACTGGGTCTTCCTGGTCTGAACAGTTTCACACCCCCGAGCACTATGAGTCATAATCAGGTCTCAGTCTGCTGCTCAGACGCGTCTGCTTTCCTCCAGGGACGCAGGCTCCTCTCCAAGAGCTGCCACAGAGCTCTCTGCCCCCGTGTGCCCCTTGGCAGTCTTCGGAGTCATTTTCCTTCAGTGGGCATCAGCACAGCTCAGTAGTGACCAGCCAACATCCTGCCTCTGTGGGCATCACCTCCATTATTTTGTGCTTCCATGGGGCTCTTCTCCTTTGACCTCCCCAAGTCATCACCAGTGAAACTGCTAACAGCGCAGCCTCCGTGTTGTCCTGGGGACTGTCCATGCCTGCCCCATGACCAGGATGTGACTTACTTGCCTCCTATGCAAAGGTGAGCCACTCCCAATCCTCTCCCCGATGCCGGTTTTCTCAGACCTCTTCCTCCATTTCTGGCGCTGTTCCAGGACTTCTGGGGAGCAGATGCCAAGACCTAGCACAGAGGGTTTTAATAGGGGAACGCCCTGTGTGAGAAAAAGCCAGGAGGTGTCCCTAAGGCTGGGAAAGTGTGCACACATGGTGCAGGTCTCAGCCCGAGCCCAGGAAAGCAGAAAGGTGGCGTGGTAGCCATGCCATCTGAGAAAAGCCTGGCATGGCCTCCAGGGAATCCTTCCACCAACGTTTCTCATCAGAGGACTGTCGGGTGTGCCAAGGACAAGCCTGCAGAGATTGCAGTCCTGGGGACCAGCCCAAAGCTTTGGGGTAAATGCAGCCCTGGATATCAGCTCTCAGTTGCTGGATCTTCGGACAGTTCCTCTCCCTACAGCAAGCTCAGTAAGTATACAGATTTGGACATCCTAATTAACAACCTTTGCGGCAGCCAAATAAAGATTGTAGCCCCACTATTGTATTTTTTCAAGGACATTTGACACATTAACAAAAGATTAAACACAAGCTATGTCTCGCAATACTTGGAAAATCCTCTGCACCCACAAGGCAATTACGTTGCAACTCCATGAAAAAATTTAATTAGAACATTCCTACAGGTTTAGATATTAGAAAATGTTATTATCAACATTAGTTAAAAACCACAGTGGGAAGTATTCTAGTTGGCCTCTAAGGTGAAATGTGTTAAATTGCTAATTTTTGGTTGCTTTTACTCATGAAAGCAGCAATTCAAAGAAGTTAAATCAAATACAATAAAAACACTATTTGTCAAAATTAGAAAAATGGCTTCAGAAAAGAATTGAATGGCTTAAATGCAAGTACACCTGGTTCTACAGTAACTTTAATTTTTTCTGAAAATCCTGCCAGTAGCAGACAAACCAGTAGACAAAATAATATTCACATTAACTTTAGTAAGAAAAATTACAATGTGCTCTATCTCAACCCAAGACACCGGAAATATCTTCACAAACAAATGTAGTTTAGTCTAACAGGGCAGACAATAAGTGAATAGTTTGTGCATGAAATACAATGTCCTAAAGGGTTGTTTTACCCTTTTTTTTCCTACACTATTTTCTCCAGCAATGTTCTGGCCAGGTTGTCACTAATCGGTTATAGTTATTTTGCATTCAGGCTTCAGTCAAAAGTAAAATTATAGCACAGAAAAACTCCTGAAGGAAAACATAGAAGCTTAACCTGAGAGCAGTTTTTAACATCAATAATCCCCAGAAAAGTTATGGAAAATACTCATCTCCACCCCTGTGCTCAGTGTGTGTGAAACAAATAAAACATGTCAGGTTCGTGGAAATGGGACATGAAATTCAAACTGTGTCATATAACACTCTAAGAACTCTTAACAAACAGAAATGTAGTTTAGTCTAGCAGTGCAGACAATAAATGTAAAAACAATTTTGTCTGAAGCCATCATAACAATCACTTTTTATGTTTATGTAGCATGTTTGGGGATGACAAAGTCAATATATGGAATAAAAAAAATGTTCTAAAGGAGTATAAAGTTTAGCTCTTATGGGGACGCATCATAAAATGGGCAATAATTATGCCTGTGTTTGAAAGGAAGAAGATATAAAAATTAACTAGTTAAATATTTAGCACAAGATACAGGAGACAGGAATAAATAAGTAGGAGACAAAGAAAACAGTAACTCAGAAAGAAATTGAAACTAAAATTAAAACCTTCCTCCATAGAAAAGTAGGGCATGTGCGCTCCCCAGCTGCTCTACCAAAGATAAAGCATAAAACAAGAACCTTCCCAGTGTCAAGGCCTGGTGGAACTGGAGAGCCTATCTAAAGAGCATGGTGGGAAAGGAACATTACAAGTCTATCACACACCTTTGTATTTGGAAAAAAATATCACAACGAAAGTGGCAATGTTTTAAAAGTACGGATACAGAATGCACATTTTAGATTTAGTTCAGGCATGCAGTTATTTTAATATCAGAAAAAAATCAAACAATTTGCTTCAGAAACTGGTTAAAAAAGGAAAATCACACAATCAAATAAAAGATGTAGAAACATTTTTAACAGTATTTAATAGAAATTTAATAAAATAGAGCTTTTTTTTTGTCTTTTTGAGACAGGGTCTCAGCCTCCCAAATACTGGGATTATAGGCATGCACCACCACACCCAGCCTTAGAATTAATTATTTTTGTGGGTACCAGGAATCAAACTCAGGACCTGACCTTACCAGGCAGGTGCTGTGCTGCTGAGCTGTATATCCCCAGCCCCTTTTTTGTCTTTTTGAGACAGGGTCTCACTATGCAGTTTATGCTGGCCTTGAGCTCACTTTGTAGCCCAGGTTGGTCTTGAACTTGCAATGATCCTCCTGCCTCAGCCTCCCAAGTGCTGGGATTACAGGCATGCGCCACTACGCCCCGCAAGCTATTTCTGTTAAAAGACACATTCATGAATTGTACACTGGCTCAATAGCAATTGGTAGAGAAAGAAGTATATGTGTGTAAGATATAGTTAATGTACATGAGTAGCAAAACCTTATTTTAAAAATATTTTGTATTACAACATTAAAAAACTAATAAAGGGGAAAGCAGCTGGCAAGCCACAGGTTAGACACGCCTGTGGAGCAGTGTTTGAATCTGGGACATTCTAGGTGACCATAAGGACCAGCTTGCTGCAGCAAGAATCCTGAGCCAGAGCAGAGGGTGGGATGGCACAGTACATGGGGCCAGGAGAAAGTCGTGGATTGGCCTTGGCTGCTGTCATTTTCTCCAGTGGCAGAAATTCCACAGGTTTTGCATGATTCTGCTCCCAAAATTTATTTTCCCATTAGTTCTGGTATTTTTACTTCCTACTTTTGCAGAATACAGAATGTCTCATATTCGTGGCATCACAGAAAAATGTCAGTGTTAGCATATTATGAATAATAAAGAAGTTCTTTAAATAATACAGGACAACTACAAATACTGAGAACAAATATCACACAAAGTAGCATAGCCTTGAAGGGCTTATCTTTGAGATGAAGATCATAACAGAAAAGCCTGATGTGGCAACTTCTATTTTTACATTGTAAATGAGGTCTTAGGAAATGCAGAAAGTCAAGAAAAACAAAGTGTATGCAGATTAGGAAGGAAGAACTAAAACGGTAACCACTCATGTGATCACATGCTATGACTGCATGTGTAGAAAATCTAGATGAAGCTACAAAAAAACATTAAGTTAAAAAAAATGCTTAGTAAGGATACTGAGAGTGCAATTGCTTTTTAAAAGTCAATTGCATTTCTTTACGTTAGTAAGAAACACTTGGAAAAGATATTTCAAACTATAACATTTATAGCAGCATAAAAATCAAATATCCAGAAATAAATCTAACAAATTCTGTGTAATGCTTTTTTTTGTCTTTTTGAGACAGGGTCTCACTGTGCAGTTCAGGCTGGCCATGAGCTCACTTTGTAGCCCAGGCTGATCTCAAACTCACAATGATTCTCCTGCCTCAGCCTCCTAAATGCTAGGATTACAGGCGTGTACCACCACGCCCAGCTAAATTCTGTGTAAGACTCTACACAGTAAATGATAAAACAGTTTGGGAAGAAATGAAAGGAGGCTTAAATAAAAGAAGGACTAGCACACTTGAAAATGTGGAAAATTCCATATTAAAATACATAATTTTGCCCCAAACGTGTCTTTAGATCCAATAAAAATCCCAGTAGCCCCACCTCTTCCTTATTGGTACTGGGGATTGAACCTAGAGTCTCATGAATGCTATGTAAGCAACCTACCACTGAACCACATCCCCAGCCTTTTAAAATTTTGAGACAGTCTCCAAGTTGCCCAGGCTAGCCTTGAATTTATGATCCTCCTGCCTCAGCTTCCCAAGTAGTTGAGATTACAGGTATGTGCCACCACCTATCTGGCTTCAAGAGGCTTTTTTCTTTAACTTAACAAACTGATTTCAAAATTAAGTGAAAATCAGAGGTAGACTAGTCAGGAAATTTTTAAGAAGGACAAGAGACCTAGCAGACATTGTGACTTACTATAAAGCTACAATATTTAAGTCTTTATCGTATTGGTACAAAGACAGACAGAAGACCAGATAAAAGGCCTGGAAATGGAGCCTGTGAAGGAACACTGCACATAGGACTGAGACAGCCCATGAAGCACAGAAGAAAGGGCAGCTTTTTAGAAAAATAGAAAGTTGAAACTTATCTTGCCCTACGCATAGGTAGATTAAATATCTAAATATGAATGGCAAAGTAATAAAGATCCTAGAAGAAAAAAAAAAAAAAAGATCCTAGAAGAAAACAAAGAATATTTTTAAAGTATAGTAGATTAAGAACTGTTAGTAAAGAAGCCAGGTGTAGTGGTGTCCAGCTCTAGTCCCAGCATTCTGGGAGGCTGGGATGGTAAGAAGGATGGCCAGTTTTAGCCCAGCCTGGGGAGTTAAGCAACTTAGCAAGACCCTGCCTCAAAAAAAAAAAAAAAAATTTAAAAGGCTGGGAGGCTGTAGCTCAGTGCAAAGACCTTGGGTTCAATTCCCAGTACGAACAACAAAAAGTGAGCAAAGAACTGCTAATAAAGAAAAAGATACTATAGAAGGAAGGCGTCTGCTTCATTGAGATGTAGAAAGTCACATTAGGTAAAAATGCTACAAACACCAGAAAAAATGCAGACAGCCAGGATACTAGGGTATTGAAGAGGTCTCAAAGCAATGCAAATCAGAGAAACTCAAATTCCAAAGAACATAATCTTGTCCCAAGTAGTTGATAATGATTGCCTAATATTTTCATGAGGGCCCATTCTGAGAGAGAGAGAGAGAGAGAGAGAGAGACAGAGAGGAAGTATGGTATATGATCTGGTCCTTGTCCACCAAGATGAGCTATCTGGGGAAGCCATAAATGCAAATAAAAAGCCCTGACCTGGATGCTGGGTCTCCCACAGGAGGGGAAGCCACTGGACCCCTGCTGGCTCTTGTGAGCTACTCAGGGAGTGGAGTGTGGGGAAACTGGACACTTGCTGAGATCCGGGACTTTTGAGCTGGGAACTCGGCAGGACTGAGCAAAATCTCCTGGCTTCTCATGATACGTGAAAGACCAGGTCCCACTGGAAAGTGGCCTGTTTCAAACGTGGGAGCAGACCACTGCTGAAGGATCCCCAGAGAGGTTCCAGCTCCATGGGCACAGACCCGGGAAGCCACGTTCAAAGCCTCTGCAGGAAAAGCCACGTTTGCCACAGGGGTGAAGGCTAAGGAGAAAGATGTCCCAGGCTGTGAATGCTCAGGAGGGCCTGCCCGACTCAAAACAGAATCAAAGAGGACTCAGGCTTTCAGAAACCAAAACCCAGTCCTGAGCTAACTCAACCAGGCTAACTTCCTAAGCAAATGTTTCAACTAAAAGTCAAACGCTAGAAAAACAAAACACAAAAGTCAAATATTGCTAATCCATATTCTTTTTTGTTTGTTTCTTGTCTTTTTTGAGATAGGGTCTCACTACACAGTTCAGGCTGGCCTTGAGCTCACTTTGTAGCCCAGGCTGGTTTCGAACTTATAACAGTCCTTCTGCCTCAGCCTCCCGAGTACTGGGATTACAGGCATGTGCTATCACGCCTGTCTAATCCATATTCTCTAAAAAAAATTTTTTTTTTTTTTTTTTTGTTTTTCTCCAGTACCGGGTCTAAAAAATTTTTTGTAACAGATACTAAAAGACACCAAAAAAGAAAAAAGAAAACCAGAAAAGAAAAGGACACCTACAAGTTAGAATGGAAATATGATATGGCTATAAATATTAACCAAGAGAAAGCAGCATAGTTAAATAAATATCAGGAAAAAGGGTAGATTAACAAATGAAACATTGCAAGCAATAACATAATCATTTGATAATATTAAAAGGATTGATTCAGGAAGACATAACAATCTTAAAATTGTAATCACCTAATAATATAGCTTTAAAATTCTTAAAACAAAGATTGATAACCAAAAGGAAAATAGACAATCAGAATCAGAGGCTTTAATTCATTTCTCTTTGTAACTGATAGAAAAATTAGACCAGAAAAAGATCAGTAAGGTGGAAAAATATTTCAATCACATAGGACATAAGCTATAGGACAATTAGCTATAGGAGATAAGTGAGGGCCAGGGATATAGCTCAGTGGCATAAGCACCAACCTGCCTGGCAAGCGCAAGGTTCTGAGTTCAATTCCCAGTACCAAAAGAAAAAAAAGAAAAAAAAAAAGGACATAAGTGAAAGTGATAGAGCACCACACCCCAAACTGGAAAATGCATATTCTTTTCAGATGCTTATAGAAATAGTTACAAAGACAGATCAAATTCTAATCCCAAAAGAAGTCTCGTGAACTGTCTAATCATCACAGCCCCACTGCCTCCCTGAGTCCACCATGTTTTTGCCAGATTCCCAGAGCCTTGGCTCCTTGTCTAAATCAAGACAAACCTGTCATTTAAAGGCAGGTACCAGGTATATAGTGGCTGTGGTGGCTGAAAGCATCCCTTCCCACAGCTCTCAGAGTCCCTGGAGCTGGGAAGGGGCCCAAGAAATAATGGGGGTGATCCCAGGGGGCCTGGGAAGGAGACCCTTCCTCACATGCCACACAAACATCCATTCGAGGTAGACCATAGACCTTGGAGGGGGGGCAGCAAAGCTATTAGAAGACCAGGAGGGACACTTCGTGACTTTGGAGTAAGCAAAAAAATAAAAAGTTCACAGAACATCAATAAGATCAACCAGACAAGGAAAATTTATAAGTGGGACTCAATTAAAAATAACTTCTGCTTATCAAAAGATAGCATTAAGAGAGAAAAAGCACACCACTCAGTGAGTAGGACACTGTCACCTGAGCAGTGGCCATGGCTTGCTGTTTGGATCCCTTCCAAGATTTTCCCTTGCCTCTCACAGTCTGGACTCCTGTTGGGACGTCAGGCCAGGTGAGGGATTGGCGGTCCCTCAGCCAAGGCTGCCTGGTGTTTGGTTCTGCATGTTTGGCAGCAGGTTAGTCTGTAACAAAGTGTCACAGACAGGGCTGCAGACACCATTTACTCCTCAAAACTCTGCAGACTGTGTGGACAGACTTGGTCTTGGTGGGCCTCTTCCTGGTTCCTATGATCTTCCTGTTGTGTTCTCCTACGGCAGACAGGAAGACAGAAAGCTCTGGGACACTGATGGAAACCACTGTGAAGCAGCTCTGAGCAGGACTTAAATGAACCAGTTGGCTTTCCATGTTTACTTGTAAGTCACTGGTCCCTACTGAGGCCTGTAATGGTGGGTGAAGCTATGGCTGTCAGTTAACTGTGGGACAGAGGTTCAGGCCCTGGGTGTCCTGAACCAGGGTTCTCCACCTTTGTTCCCCACTGTGGCTGACATGATGTTCTGACATAGCAGGCATTTGGGTTCCTCCCACCTCCCTTGTCCTCGCCCAGCTCCAGGCTACTGAGCTCCTTGGTTCCCACAGGGTGCTGCTGGCTTGTGCCCACCAGCCCTGTTCAAAAACCCAGAGATCCACAGCACATGCAAAAACTTGTATCTCATCTCCACAATCACCATCGATCGATCACGCTATGCACAGCAGTGATTCCTTTTAAATTTAGATCAGCTTTTCCCAGTATAAGATCAGTTATTGCCTCAGGTGGGGGGACCCCAACTTCCTGTAGGAACTGGGATACATTTGTCACCTCTAACAAGAGTGACTCTACAAGCTGCAGAAAAATCTAATCCTGCACTTTGTAATTCAACAGGCATATGAACAAAAAGCCCCTTGTTAAGATAATTTCGCTGCTGCAACAGACTTAAAACTGAATGAAGTAGGTTTCAAGTTGAGAATGTCTCAGGGGAAATGATTTTTCCTTTACTGTGTGCCTTTGTAAGATTTTTCCAACTCTTTCCCAGTTGTCAATATCTATGGTGCCTGTCTGAGGAAACCATGGATTATATTTGGTTACCTCTTATAACATTTTTGTTAGGTCTTTTGTTGGCACATGAGCCCCTGAGCGTTTCAGCAAACCTTGAAGCAGCTGCATATATTTTTGCTCCTCAGCTGAAAATGTTTGGCCCATTTTACTCCCAGATGAAAATGGCTTGTTCACAGCAGGAAGACTTGCCCTATTCCTTGTGGAATGCTTCTCTTCCCTCCTTTCTCCAGGTGTCCCCGGTAAAGTTCTTGTCCTGTGAAGGCCTTCTCCATCTCCCACACTTTCTATTCTAGGTAGACTTATCATTCAAAATAAAAATTTTCAGTCCAAGGATTATAAATCCCTGGTCCAGGTGCCAAATAGCATGTTAATTTTATCTCCTTGTTATTATGGACTGATCAGGCCCACAATCTCCCAAACAAGTGGACCACGAAGACTTAAATAAATGAGACAAATAAAATGATATCAGGGCTCCAGGAGGATCCAAACCCTATCACAGAATTTGAGATCCTGAGGTTTTAGACAAAGACTTCTCTAGGCAGCCTGTATTTATTATGTTATCAAATAAAGGAGGGGAATACTTGAAGAAAATGCAGGAATCTGGGCAGGACTTGGGAATCGTTAAAGGACTTCTCCAAGTAATACTTTATGTTAATTTAGGAGAATTATGTTATCTCCGGGAAGGCCTCCACCCAGGAATGAGATGCCTGCAGCTACAGTCTTTATCTAGTTGATAGAGGTTGGAGCTGGGTGTCTCTAGCTGTGGCCTTGTCTTGTCCTCTGAGGCATCATGGCTTCACCCACCATTACAGGCCTCAGTAGGGACCAGTGACTCACAAGTAAACACGGAAAGCCAATTCGTTACTTTAAGTCCTGCTCAGTGCTGCTTCGTAGTGGTCTCCGTCAGGACACTAAGCCTAGCATGGGGCCACCCTCAAGCCTCATCTTAACCCTAATCTCTGTTAAAGGCTCTATCTCCTAACACCAGCACAATGAGGCAGGGTTTGGCCTGTGAATTTGGTGGGGACACAAACATTCAGCATTCTGCAGGCTCTTCTCAGGACATTCTCTCAAGGGTAAGCAACTCCGTTTGCTGATAACATTCACTCTGATCATTTTTATCCACTTGAGAGATTACTTGGTTTCCTTTTCTCATTGAAATTATTCTTCCTGGAGGTTCTTTGATGCTAAAGATGCTCCTGTTCTTTGAGCTTTATACTTACTTGTTGACTGCTCTCTTGTTGATTCACTGTTTCCTGTCTTATTCAATGGCCTGTTGCTCAGGAGACCTCTGACTCAGTCAGTGAATACTTCATGCATATGCTTACTAGCCTCCCAGTGCTTTTTTCCTGTCTGACAGGAAGCACCAGGCTCACCCTGTGCCTTCCTGCCCCAAGCCTTGCATCAGCCATTTCCCCAGAGAGCTCTGTTTCAGTTGGTGGTAAATGTTTTTAAGGAGCCAGTGTCTAGATGCCAGTGCTAGGGCTTCTCCATATCCACTAAGTCTCATACATCAGTATGATTATTTCCCTCAGGGAAATTACATGTATCCATTTAAACATTTATTCATTTTGGTTATTTCCTATTGTGGTGTTTATGACTAATACAGCAATAAATATACTCATGTAACACATATATATCATACATAAAACTGCATAAATCTTAAATGACTTTAATGCATTAAATGCAATGAATTAAATGAATTAAATGGAACTTAATGACTTTTATAAAGCAAATATTCACGTGACTGACACCAGCAACAAGAAATAGGATCCGAGGCTGGGAAGGTATCTCAAGGGCAGAGCCCTTGCCTAGCATGTGTGAGGCCAGTTCCATTCCCAGCTCCATAAATTTAAACAAAAAAACATCAGGACCCTCCAGCACTCCAAGAATTACTATATGCCTTGACTGATTAAATGTATCGATTTTCTTTCTATTTTGACATCTCGTTATGTCTTGCAGAAAAGCAGTAACTGAATGAAGGCTGTTGGCAATCGTGACTGTATTGAAACTGAAAGCTCCTGTTTTAAAAAGATGCCACTGAGAAGGTAGAAACGGGAGCCTCGGAGTGGGGAGTTTTCTGCAAAGCAGAGAGCTCTCAGGATGTATATCAGCTGAATGAGGAACACCTACAAAGGCAAAGAAGCTGCAGTTCAGGAGGAAAGAAATGGTCAAGGTACTAAAACGGCGTTTCACAAAAGGGGACATTCAAATGGCCAGTCAATACATGAAAAAGGCACTCAGCCTCATTTCCCAGGAGAGAAGCGCAAATGCCTCCAGGCATGCAGCAGAGGCTAAAGTGAAAAAGACAGGTACCAGGCAGTGCAGGGAGGGCGTGGGACTGCAGGGACACAGGCTTGCTGCCAGTGGCAGAGGCACAAGCACCTTGGAAAACTGGGAATTTCTATTGGAGCAGATCATCTGGGAAATTCACAACCCAGCTGCCCCTCTCCTGAAGATGTGCAGGAGAGAGAGGGGATGCCCAGGTGCCTAGGACATGCAGAGTGCTGGTCCCCAGCAGTTAGTCTTGAATGCCCAAATGGAAAACACCCACATCTGCACATCTATTCGCACAAGTGGAATAACGGTCAGCAGTGAGGATTCATGGGAGTTGGCTCCACCCAACACCACCCTTGAATCACAGTCAATAAAAGGTGCTGGGCACAAACAATCACATGCTGATTGCTTCCATTTATAAACAGTTCCAAGCACAAGAACTGGCTTAAAAGATGATGGTGCTAAGGGATGAGTGCTTAGGTTGTAAGAACACATGTAAAGGGCTGGAATTGCTTGCCAGATGTTGATCAAGGCAGTGAGACGAGGTGGTCCTTTTCCCTGTTTTGTGATGATTGCTTTGTGAAAATGTACCCAGCTGTGCATTGCCTTAAATTTTATTTTTAATTGACTTCTGTGCTACATGTTCTATTCCTTTGTGTTATAGTTCACATTTCAGAAGTTTTTGTTTAAAGAAGTATTTTCTTTCCTTCAGGTTATGAATGTTTCATTGTTTTTGACGGAAAGTCACCCCTGTCTTGCTGCTTTGAAAATAATTGGGTTTTTCTCTGGCTGCTGTATAAAGATTTTTCCTTTCTGTGATGGGCAGAGCTAGGGATTTGTTATTTCTACTGCTTGGTCTTGAGTTTGTGGGTTGATGTGATCGATAGTGGAGATTTTCCACAACTACTCCTCTGTCTCTTCTGTCCTCACAGCCTCGCTGGCTGGCCTCCCAGGAGTGCAGCCTCTCTGTACTGGGTACATATCCGCCCCTCTGGCCACCCCAAAGAGCCTGCAGCAGAACAGGCAAATGTAGAATCTGAGTAAGAATAGAATCTGCCTCAGAATAGTTTCCTCTCTGTCCCCAGCATCTTCTCCTCTCCTCTCCTCTCCTCTCCTCTCCTCTCCTCTGTACTCCAGTGGGACTGAGCTCATCTCAGTAGCTGTTTTCTGTCTCTCACGGTCCTACCCTCTCTGAGTCACCCTCTGTTCTGCAGGAGCAGAAGGACCTTGGGGAGTATAGGGCCCTGCTCTCAGCTTTGCTACTTGTAGGGGGGCAGCAGCTTGGGCAAGTGCTTAGGGCTGGGGACCTCCAGTGTGGTAAGGTGAGAGAGGCTGGGCCAACCCCAGAGCACCCCCTCTCAAGACACCCGTGTCACATGGGCACTGTCATACATGGGCACACAGATACACAGCCAGGATTTTAGGCCTTCTCCATACTCAGGGAAGAGCTGTGGGCTGGGGGCTAGGAGTCACCAGAACTGTGGCCAGGACAGCATGGGCAACAGAGGAAGTTGACCTGAACCGTACAGAAAGATACTATAGGGAGAAGGGCAGTGAGGGAGGAGAGAAGGCAATTCTCTCTTTGATTCAGACAAATGTTTACTGAATGTCAATGTGACCCAGGCACTGTATAAAACCAAATGAAAATGGGCTGGAGAAGCTTGCAGGGGGCAAGGAGAGGAACAGCTGGACATCAGAGACCCCTCCAGAGAGGTAGAGACACAGAGCTTGATGCCAGAGCCAAGCAGTGAGGGCGTAGATGGACTGACCCACTGGGACCCCTGCTGTGGGGGTGCTGTCCTGTAAGCTGGGAAAGCTGGCCTCGGCAGTGTGGCTTTGTCCCATGCTTTTGGCTGTCAGGTGGTTGTCCTGTGTACAGCTTGAGCTCAGGAAGCCTCAGTTGGGCTGGGCAAACCCTAAGAAAAGGCCTTGCTGATGCAGGTGCACCCCTGGGGATCATTTAGGCAGACAGCCACTGAGCGCAGCATCAGCGCTAAGGGAAAGGAGCAAAGAAGACATTGTTTCTCTCTGGTTCCTCCTGTCCAGGCACAAGCGGCTTGGACCAGGGTCAGCTTCAGGTCAACCTTACCACCCAGGACCCAGTCTCCTGCACATGCCCTGGCCCCTTCCAGGGCCCAGCACCCCCCTCCATTTTACCTGACTCCTCCTGATTATGAGGGGACAGAAGCGTCCAGGGCTGAGCAGGCTACAGTCAGCCTTCCAGTGACGTCTCTGCTAACTTTGGGGGCAAGAACAGTGCCCTGGGGTCCTGCTCAGTCCCCAACATGCCCCTCTTCTGACTTCCAGGCCCTCCTGTTCCCCTGCTCTTCACCTCCCGCCTGGACTGAAACCTCTACCTTATCTCTGTTGTGTAGGATTTGAGTCAGGATTGGGACTGGGTGTCACTCACAGTGGGATACTGGGGCTGCACCACCACTCTGCCCCAACCCTGCACACGTCCCCACTTGCCAGGCTTCCTTTCTTCTCTCTATGTCCACGGTATAGTGTCCGTCGGGTGGTGTCCAAGGCCCAAGGGCTGGACTTTTTCATCTGGAAAGTGCTTTGCTGAGCTGGGGTGGGGTGTCTCCTCTTGCTGCTGCCAACAGGTGAAGGCCCAGCCCCACATTCCCGTCTCTCACACAAAAGCCCGTCCTCCCAGCTCGCCATGCAGTATCCCTGGGCCCCTGCCTGCTCCTGCCCTCCCTAAGCAACCAGCCGGAAAGCCCCGTCCATTGCAAAACGCACGCGCTGGCAGACACCCCGTCTCCCCACAATGTCTCCAGCCCGGGTCTCCTGCCTGCACTTCTCCGTTTGGCATCTCAAAGTCAACCTCTTCTCCCTACTGTTGGCCTGTGGCCCTGTCCTCTCGCCAGCTGTCTAGCCATCTGCCCCGAGCAGCGGCCAGAGACTGCCTCTGCCTGCAGCCCTCTCCCTGCCGCCACCCCCAGGCCCCTTCTCCAGTCTAGCACCCTGTCCCTGGTGCAATGGGCAGAGCCGCTGTGTCCTGAGTCACAACCTTGGGTCGGCCTTCACTCTGACTCTGGGAAGCGGAGGCCATTTTGCCCTTTTATGGCTGAGGAGACTGCAGGGCAGGTGAGGAACTTTCTTAGGTCCCAGGAATGGGCTGGCCCTGGCATCACTTTGGGGCACCCCCTTCTGGGGGAATAGGGGTTTCCTAGCTCTGCTCTCAGGTGGTGTAGGTTTCTGCTGCCCCATCTGTCCCCAGGCTGCATGAAGCCCGGGGGTCATGTCCCAGTCAGCAAAGTTGGCTGTGATGCAGCTCTCTGGACTTAAACTCTCAGGTTGTACCTAAAAGAGGCTCCTAAGGCCTCCAGACCTCCTCCCGCCCCCATGACACACCCCTGGGGCATGGACAGGAGGCCAGGCAGGAGCAGGGTAGGTATTTTATTGAAAGTTCACAGATACAAGTGCTCTGAGCAGGTCACAGCTTGGAGGAGGCGGGGTCAGGAGAGAGTGAGCCCCAGGTGCTGGCAGTCCCACATCTTGGGAGCTCCCACATAAGCCCTTCTTGCTGAGTGTGGGGTCTGCAGGCTCTGGAGCCTGGGCAGAGCACATGGAAGCCAGGGCAGCAGCAGGGAAGAGGCTGGGGCCCAGAGGCAGGCAGGGCGAGGGCCAGGAGGCAGACGGGGGCTGGATGGAACTCTCTGTTCCTTGGGCGCTCAGTTTCAACAGCTTCGCTCTGGGTCACACACAGGCTCTGAGGCCCAGACAGGAGCCTTGATCTGCCCGCCCCCAGGGCATCCTGCATCTCAGTGACCACAAAAGTAAGCAAGTCTCAGTGCTTCGTCCTCATGGCCCTGGCGCCCATGGGGTCAGTAGTCAGTGAGTGGGTACCGCAGGAAGATGAAGACCAGGATGATGCAGGAGGCTGCCAGCGCAGAGCTGGTGATGTTGAACAGCCGAGCAGTTTTGGCATCCTCCACCGCCCCATTCAGGTCATTGAGGAGCTTCTTGTCCCGAACCTGGAGCCAGAAAGAGGGTGAGACCTGGGTCACCAAGGAGTAGGTGCCGGGGCCTACAGAGGGTGACGGGCCAAGACAACTTCCTGACTTGCTATATCTGTATGCTCATCTGCAAGGAAGCACCCTGGCTTTGGGGAAGTCCTGAGGTCTCCTGTGTGAAATTTACTCTCAGAAAGTTTGTGAAAGAAGTATTTAGACAGAGAAAGAAAAAGCAAAATAACTTTTGGACGTCTGGGTAAAGATAGCCAGGAATTTTTTGTTTTATTTATTTTTCACAACTTTTTGGTAAGCCTGAAGTGTTCTAAACTAAAAAGTCAAGGTGGTCTTGGAGAGGGCAGTGTAATGAGAGCATGGGATGACACAGATTCCCTGATGGAACTGATCCTTGAGAGGAGGCGCTGGGAGGAGAAGACAGGCGGCCATCTAGCCCTATGTTCTCTGGGGGAGGGTATGGTGGCAATACGGCAGGGGATCCAGGCTTCCTGGAGGGTGTATGGGCAAAGCTGGTTAATTCCCAAGAGGCCACCCTCTTCCCGGGGAACATAGGGATGTCCCTCTCCACCTAGCAAGTCCAATAAGGGCAGGTGTGAGCATGCTGTAAGCAGAAATGAAAACCAGGGAGGAGAGAGTGAAGGAGGGAGAGAGCTGAAAAGAGGAAAGGACAGAAAGTCTGCATTAGTCAACTGGGGCTGGTTAAAGGAAGGAAGGTGGGCAGATGGGTACCTGGACTGACCAGGCCCAGATCACTAGGCAGACAGGTTGTGAAGGGGGATGGAGATCAGAGCAATGGGTGGGCGAGGGGACAGATAGGTGGGAGGAAAGGAGTGCACCGGTGGGCAGGAGGAGAGTAGCTGGGTGGAGGGATGGTTCTGTGGTGGACAGAGGGAGGAAGCAGGTAGTGGGAGGAGCAAAGGGAGAGGAGAGAGAAGAGGATGAAAGGACGGGTGTGCAAAGATGGGCAGAGGGAGGGAGGAGGGCTGTGGGAGAGGAGTGAAACGGGGTGCAGGGAAGGGATGGGAAGATAAGCTGGCAGGAGAGGGGAAGGAAGGAGCAGGGTGACCAGGCAAGACTTACAGGGAATGTGTGAACAGACAGAGACAGGGGAATGAAGGGAGGAACTGAGGGACTGGGGAGGGAAGGAGGTAGCAGCCTCTGTCCTGGGGGAAGCTGTTTTTCTAGTGATTTTCGAGGGTCTGGACACTGGTTGCTGTTGCTGAATTCTGTCCTTCCTGAGAATAGGGCGTGTCACTCACTTATTTAACACCCACTGTTTGAAATCTCTATTAAAATAGTTTTATAACTTTCCCCTTAAAGAGCTATCCTCTCTTTTGTTAGGTTTGGCCTTAGCCTGTTTATTTATTTAGGTTTTGTTTTGTTTTGTTTTGTTCATGAGACTCCTTCTGCCTCAGCCTCCTGTGTGTTGGGATTATAGGCATATACCACCACACCGGGCTTTAGCCTATTTCTTTTTAAAACTGTAATGTAAAATGCCATTTCTCATTGATCTTTTGCTGGTGTGTAGACATTTGACTCTGTTCTGGAGAGTGGTTCTGTGTCCAGCTAAGCTATGATATTGTTGATAATTGACCAAATGTTTCCTCCACCCCCATACTGGGAATTGAACTCACGACCTTGTGCTTGCCAGGCAGGCACTGTGCCGCTGAGCTAAATCCCCAGCCCCTTGACCAAATGTTTTTCATAATAAATCATAACAAATACACTGAGCAACAGCAGTTCCACTGGCTTGTTCCAGTCCTTATTCCAGAATGCAAAGTACAGCAGTTAGGGGCACAGATGCAAGAGAGTCACTGGCTGGACTTGGGTCCTGGTTCTGCCAGGTGCTCATCATGTGACCCAGCATGTAACTGCCTTTGCTGTCCCTTGTCTGTGATGTCCCTTGTCTGTGCCCTCATCTGTGACGCAAGCACCATATGGTGCTGGTCTCATGTAGATGGGGAAGGACCTCATGAACTAGCAAGTGTGCAGTACTGGCAGAGCATCTGGCCCATAGCAGCTTTTACCTTGGAGGCAAAGATGACTTCTAGAACAGTATGGAATAGCAGGGATGGTAATAAGCAGCCCCTCCTTACGCTGGAGCTTAAATTCCACTACAAAGCATGATGCTCATTTTATGAATAGAGGTCTAACATTGTGCGGAAAAAGTCTCATGAGATAAACACATGATTTTCTCTTCTAATTCGTTAATATGGTGGATTATATTCATTGCTTTTCTCATATTAAAAAAAAAAACCAACAACAAAACCTCTGAAGCTGGGTCACATGCCTATAATCTCAGCACTCAGCAGGCAGAGGCAGGAGGATCATGAGTTCCAGACTTCATGGACAGTTGGACTACATAATAAGACCTTGTCTCAAAATAAAAAGTCCCCCACCAAGCTCTGAATTCCTGAATTAAGCCTTGGTCACAACTTCTTGTTGAAAGGAATGACAAGGGAAGGCACTGTGCGTTTAACACGGATGGATGGGCAGAGGGAGGACAGCTGGATGGCAGCCAGCACTAAGGGGACAAGGGATGGTGGCAATGAAGAAGACATGGGAAACGGGGCACTGGGCAGGTGACTCAGTGTCTGGAAAGGGGGTGGATTTGTGGAGGTGGACCCAAGAAGCAGGGGACAGAGAAGCAGTCACAGGAATAATGTATGCTGGATTGGAGGGAAGGCGGGACGGATACAGGGATTATGCAGATGAATGGGTTAGGCAGGTGATGAGTATGTGAATGCAGGCCAGATACATGGCACAGGTGATCAGGGTGTATCAAGGGTGGACAGGGAAATGGGTGAAGATATGAGAACGTGATGGTTGCACGGCACAGGTGGTCAGATGGGACAGGGATGTGTGCCCGGTGAGTTGGATAGATGGGTAGGTGAGTTTGCAAACACTGATAGTTGGGGTAGGAAGGTAGTTGGTGCCTCAGTGCATGTTGGATGGGTAGGATGGGCAAGGAGGTGAATGTATCAGTATATACACCAGATGGGTACAACAGGTACATAGATGGACATGTGAATGTGTGCCAAGTGGATAGAACAGAAGAATAGATGGTGGCACAAATGTATGCCTATTGGGTAGGACAAGTGGGCAAAGAACCCTGTGGATGTATGCTGGATGAATGGATTGGGAGGTTAGGCAGGTAGGTGGACATTTGTCTTTGTGAGTGTATGTTGGGGTGTGTACTGGGGGATGCGGTACTGTATGTTACATTATGAGCAGGTACCTCGGTACATGTGCTGGACAGGTGGGGCAGTAGGTGTGACTGCATGTTGGATGCATGAGACAGGTGCGTAAGTGAAAAAGAGGGTATTGGATAAGTTATGTGTAGACCAATGGATGGTAGATGGATAGACAGATTAATTAACTCAATCAATCAATCATCAATCAGTTGATCTTTATCCAGTGCCTTTGTGCAGCTGCTGTTCTCTGAAGGAACAAAACAGTCTCTGTCCTCATGGAGTTTACATTCTGGGGCAAGGATACAGGAAATAAGTGCAATAAGTAAGTAAAATGGCTGATGGGTTAAATGTGCTCAGAAGAGACCCAAGGAGAGGGGAGGAGAGTATCAAGGGAGGAGTGGTCTTGGCTGTGTTGCCAGGAAGACCCCAGTGAGGGGACATGTGAGTAAAGACCAGACAGATGTGACAGGCTTGGTCACGAGTTTATCTGGGGAGAGAGGTGCACAGGCAGGCTCAAAGTTACAAGGAAGGCAGAGACCAGAGTAGGGAGGAGAACACAGGGACAGGTTGCAGGGACAGAACACAGTTCAGGAGCCAATCGGTGGGGAGGTTTGTAGAAGATTTTTGGAGTGATTTAAGAAATGGATGATCTGACATATTTCAACATGGAGATTGTGGTTGCCATGTTAAGATCAGATTGAGTGGCAGACAGTGCCTGGACAGGAGCAGGTATCAATTTAACAGCATAGGCTAGAGAGAAGGGTGGCTCTCCAGGCAGGAGCAGTGAAAGTGGGAAGATGGGGTCTGTTTCTCGGTATATGTTGAAGGCAGAGCTGGTGGGGCTTCCCAAGGTCAGGTGTGGAGTGTGACAGAAAGAAGGGGACTGGAGATGGCATCAAGGACTTTATTATGATTGATCTAAAGTGCAGAAGGCCACGGGAGGAGCAAGTCTGGGAGGAGCAGTCCAATTCTGGTGTAGCTAAAATGTAAGTCTAAAAGGTATCAGCACAGACATGGTGTGTACGAGACCTGGCAGGGCACCAAGGAAGGGCATGTCAACAGGGAAGAGAGCCCCAGCAGACCCGGGAGCATCCTGAGTTCAGGGATCAGGGAACCAAAAACAATCAGGAGAAGGGCCCAAGAAGAATGGGCAAAGAAGCTGAAGGAAAAGCAAGGGTGTATAAGGATGGTAGATGGAGGTCAGGGCAGAAAAGTGGAGAAACAAAATAAGAACACAGAAGACAGGGCAGGGGCTGGGGATTTAGCTCAGTGGCACAGCACCTGCCTGGCAAGTGCAAGGTTGTGAGTTTGATTCCCAGTAACAGAAAACAAACAAACAAACAAAACACAAAACAAACAAAAAAAAGAAGACAGGAAAGATACACCAGGGCCAGGAGATGGGGCAAAGAGAGTTGATGTGGGGTGAATCAAGGTGCGGGGCAGGTAGTAGAGAACCTGGTGGTGGGACAGCTGGGTGAACCAGTCAAAGCAAGGATGGAAGGAGAGGGGAGGACATCAGATGAGTTGAACAGATCATGAGTAGGTAGATGGGAAGTTGTTTTTTGAGGGGTGTATCAGGAATCAGGACCTTGTGCTTGCCAGGCAGGTTCTTTTATGAAGGAACTTGCAAGGAAAGTTCTTTTATGAAGGTGTATAGTGAAGACAGTGTATGTGAAAGAAGAAAAGCAAGGTTAGGTGAGTGTGTGGATGAGTTGCTACTGGCTTAACACCTGGCTACGAAGGTGAATGTAACACGGTGTTGGAGGAGCGGGAGAGAAGAAAGAAAGGGGAGGAGTGATACACAAATGAATG